GCACTCCTGGGGATTGACTCTGGTTTCGTTCATAGTTTGAATCTTAAAAAATCCCTCAGTCCACATGGCAACGCTAAAACGATGGAAAACGCTCACATAAGCATGCTATAAGCATGCCAGGCCAGTAGGTGGCGATAATAGCTGTGTCTCATTCACATCAAACACTGTAAAAGAACATTGCGAGCATGCGTATTAACCGTCCTTTTGACAGCGGCGTTTTGGAAAGATGGCGAAACAAGTCAACAAACACAAAGCTGATTCATTCGTTTGGACAGACGACGAAGTGGAGTTGCTGCGGACAGATGTAAACAAACCGGTAGCCCGCCATCTTGGTTATGACGCATGCTCAACACGCAAGTCGACATAATTACGTCACTATTACAAAAAGCTCCGTTTTAACTGTTTTAACTGTTCACACGAATACAAGTAAACGTGATTTTTTTAAATCACCACCTTGGAATGCGTTTTTCAAAGACTTTGTTTGCAGTGACCAAAAACTCAGTTTTCAATTGTTTTCATGTGGACGGGTCGCCAAAAGGGAGAGAAAATACTACGTTTTCAAAAAAATCGTATACGTGTGGATGGGGCCTGACTCACTGACTACATCTCTCCAGTCTCTTGCACAGAAAATTTTGAGTTTTTTAGAATTCTTTGTGGAAAAAACAATTGATATAAAAAAGCTAATTTTACCACCCTCTGCACCACAGCCAGACCCTCGGTCAGCTGTGCAATTCTTTAATCGATTTGATCCATTATCTCTCTCCTCTCTGCAAGAAATAATCCTTCATTTGAAGCCCACATCATGGACATCTGCTTGTATTCTCCGTTGCCTTTTTAAAGAAACATTTTAAATTATTAGCATCCTCTCCTTCATCAACAGCTGCCTCTCCACAAGATGCTTCCAGACCGATTTTAAACATGCAGTGGTTTAGCCTCTTTAAAAAAACCTAACCTAGATCCTAACATTTGATCAAATTTTAACCCATTTCGAAACTCCCATTACTATCCAAAATTCTCGAAAGAGTAATCAATAAACAAATGAATCAATTTTTAAGCAATAATCAAATATTTAAAGCACTCCAATCAGGTTTTAGAGAAAAGCACAGCACTGAACAGCCCTTTTAAAAGTTCTTGATGATTTGTTTTTAGCAGTAGACAATGGGGACTATGCAATTTTAATACTTTCAGAGTGGAGATCTCAGTGCCGCATTTTAGACGGTTGACCACAAAATAATTTTCACCAGGCTTAAAGACTGGGTTGGGATCCAGGCTAAATATGCTCAAATCATACTCGGAAAACAGAAGTTTTAAAGTATGCCTAGGATACAGCTTTTCTCCCTCTGCTGCCCTCACCTGTGGGGTTCCTCAGGGCTCAGTTTTATCACCTCTTTTTTGTTTTTCCCTGTCCATGCTGCCACTGGTCTTCCTAATAAGGAAGCACGGCTTATCCTTCCACTGGTTTGCAGATGACATGTAAATATATATCCCTCTCAAAAGCAATAACCCCCACTCCCTGCAAATACTACTCGAAAGACTGGATGGACAAAACGTTTTAATACTAAATGAGTAAAAAAATGAGGTAGTTCTGTTTGGTCCCCCTGACTCCAACCAGCTTTATCTGTAAAACACTTGGCCCACTGTCATCTTATGTAAAACCCTCTTCATGTGTGTATATATATTTTATTGTCTTTCTTTGAAGCTGCTGTTGTTTTTACGCCTTGTAAGTAAAGCACATGGTTAGTTGAGGCTCACAAAAAAGGCAATAAAATATCCATGCTACTTAGTCAAATAGCATAAAAAACTAAGAGCTCTCTCATATAAGACATGCCTTAGGCATCAGTATATGAGTAAATATCAATACTGAAAAAGGCAGCGAACATGCACATCAGTTATTTAGGTGCTGGGTCGAAAAAGTCTCTAGATATTCCCTGTCAGGCTCAAAACAATTTTATTTCATGTACTTATAGCAAATAAATGAGTATATATTTGGGAGCCATAGTATTGTGAGTCTTTGTGCATCATAAATATCAATGGTCACATACGTTACTCTTTAATTTTTTATTTTTGCGCAGTAAATGCGTATATTGTAAAGTAACAGCCAAAGATAGAAAGAGGAATCTAGAGTGAAAAAGAAGCGATGACTTGCATCAAACAGATCAGACTCGAGTCAAACTTTTGTTACTGGGACATTTATTTATTTATTTACACAAGCTCCTCATTACTCATTTCCTTAGTAACATCTATTCTAAGTTCACACAAAATTAACAACTGAGACCCCGAATTAACTTTTGTTTTGTTATTATTGGTTAAAAAAAGTGGAAATTTGAATAATTTTATTCATTAATAAACAAAACCTGTCACTAGCTTAAAGAACATGAACATTAAGGCACTCTAAATTCTAACTTTTTTAACAAGGCTTTGTACCTGGCAGAATGTTGGTTTGCTTTTCTATTTCCTGTTACACTTGTGTTATATGCTATGTGGTAGTTTTGGCAATTTGAAGATAGCTGAAAGATGTTGCTAAGGGGCTTTCAAAAGCTTCACTTGATTTGGTTGACATATAGAGCATTGTGTTGATTCCCTTCCTGAACTAACACTACGCTGAATTTCTATTGCTGATTTAAGAACTTTTGATATTGTTTTGCTCTCTTGAATGTATATTTTCTTTTTTATTGTTTATTTTCCATTAAAAAAAAAAAAAAACTTAAACAAAAGAAAAGTTGAAACTAGGGCTGGGTGATATGGCCTTCAAATAAATCTTAAATGTTTTTTCCACACCGAACTTGATTGACGATTTTAACTTGATTTTCATTGAAAATGTGCCTCTGTTTTGTGCTCACAGTTTGGTTAATTCTTTGCATTGAGACCAGTAGCGGAGCGAGTGTGGGGGCAGAAGGTGCGGCCGCCCCGGGCCCACTGTTGTCTTAAGGGGCCCACTTTGAGCCAAATTTAACATGCATTTTTGTTATTTAGTTGAATTTTCTAATAAAGTTAGTTTGACTAGGTCTGAGTCTCTCTTTTCTTTTGCCGCAATCAAGACACACAATGTATTTTGTAGAGCAGAGAAGGGCCCCCCTCCACTGCCAAGGGGGTTCTCAACTTCGGCAGCAAACAGCACCAGCGGGGTGCTGTGGCCTGTTTGTAATGTCATTGATTCCACCTCTTAGTACCCCCTTTGCTGGGCCCCTCGCTGCTGTCTGGAGTTTTAAAAACCTAGTCGTCTGTCTGCTTTATTTCTGTTTACCTCGCAGTTTTTCGTAACATTAAAAGTGTAAAAAACTGAATAAAAAATGTTTTCTCATTGACAACTCAACCTTCAACAACTCAACCTGACAAGTCTCCTCCCGTTGCTCGCTCCACTAACGTAAACGAAACTAGCCAAGCAAATAAACATGTTAGGAGGAGCACCCAGCTAGCTGCAGGAAAGCAACAGTGCTGATGAAAACCTGTAAAACTGTAATATTTACAGTCTGAGATTGATGAAAACTTAATTGGTAATTTGTTTCATCATTATTTCATCTTTTGTTTGTGGGTGCATGTGTTGTAGACCGCCCTGTGTCTGCTTGGTTATCATATTGTATGAACGGCAGGCCATTGCTGTCACACTGTTTACAAAGTTTGTAGTCATGTGTGGGTTGATAATGTGTGGTTTTATTGTATTGTCTGTGTGGCTGGATGAGCGTCCATCTTCACTGAATGTCAAACTGTAGTTGCCTTCTATCTTTGGTTTCCCGTCCGGATAATTAAGTCTGCTTTACTTGTTTAATCGATGGAATATGCGCACAGATATATCAGCACTTGTTCTGCTTAAACATCAGCAGATCACTCACTGATAAGTCCCTGTCACTGTAATAGCACCCTTTGTAATCTGCAGCGGCATTTCTCTTCGTCCTGCCCCGTCTTGTATCTCCATACAGCCGATACTTTACCATAAATGCTATACTATATTACTATATAGGCTACAGCATATGCTATATGGCCTATAGACAGTTTAAGGGCCCACTATTGGTCCCCGCCCCCTCTGCAAGCCATAGGCTCCGCGCCTGATTGAGACCAAGGACAACTAGTCATTCTTCATCACCCTGCAGGTTATGGGTCTGCAGTAGTTGCTGCAAATTCATTGAGGATGAAATGCCTTCAGCGTTGACACAACTTGTAAAAAATAACTGCAGCTATCCAGCATAAGAGAACTGAAGTCACTATGTTTCTTCGTTTCAGGTTCAGGCAGGGAATGGAGTCACGCTCTACTATCATGCCAGAGTTTCGGTAACAGCTGATCTCACACAAGCCTCATCAGCTGATGGCCAGCTGATTTACTTCAAAGCATTCTATTAGCCAAAAGTTCTTATGCCGCTTATTTAAACTGCTCTAGCCTGCCTACTCTTTGCTGCTCCCTCTGCGAGCCACATTTGCAGCCCTCCTCCACCCCAGCTCCTCCTTTTATGCTGCAATGACTTGCATCAATCAATGTCATGCATGTCATTGATGTCTGCTCTGTTTGGCTTTGCTGCTTATTTCTGCCTAAAGCTTTCCTTGTATGCACAGGAAGGGCAGGTATGTGTGCTGCTCCTGCCTTACGCATTCAACTTAAGAACGTGGAAGGTCAGGGAGATCCCAAAACAGAGCCATACCGCCGAATATAAATAATTGCAATGAAGTACATTTTCTTGACAAAGTGGTCCTGACTGAACTGTAAGCTATGTCTGCATCACACTCTTTTCTCTAAATTTAACCCGAGCATATTCACACTCAGAGTCCTTCCTCACATTTCTAGGCTTCACTTCGTCATATAGATTTACCATCTCTACTGCATTGCTCACAAAATTCAATGCTCCCTCTAAGCGCTTCTCCTCCAGATAGGAGCGACCTGACTGATTTGTGTCCTCAGAGCTTCCTCCCTCCTTCTTCCCTTTGCTCCTCCAAGTCACACTAGTGTAAATCACATCTTTGCTTTCCTCGTTTTTCTTCTCTGAACTTGTGCTGGCGTCTTCTGTGTTGTTTCTGCTTGAGCTTGGTAAGTTGGTGCTGATTGGCTCAGAGGTAGTTGCAGGTTGGGTGACACCTGGTTTCTTCAGCTCATAGGTGTTGACATAAATGTCCTCATCTGTATTGTTGGGTTCCTACAATTCAAAATAAAATGTTGGTTGGTTATTGTGCTTATGTAAGTCACATTAAGTAGAAAACTGCTGGATTCCAAGATAAAGTACCTCATTTCCTTCTCCACTTGGTAGATGTTGGCTCATGGCAACTGTGCTGGTGTTACCTGACCTCTGACTCTTAAGCAGGTTGTGTTGAGTCCTCTGAGCCCTGAAAAAAACAGCATAGTATAAACCTACATGAATATACTGTAAACAGTTTTGTTGTTCCCACTGGTAGTTTAAAGTTGAGAAAAAATTTAGAAAACTAAATTGAGTTGTTTTAAGATGTCTCACAGCTCTCGAAACACAGGATCACAGCGTCTGCAGAAAAAATGATGTCATAATGTTGTGCCACGTGTGGCTAGCATTCACAGTGCTAACACTACCAGCCTTTGGTCCTCCATGCAGGTTAAAGGGGCTATATGTAACTTTTCAAAAACACCGCGTTAGTAGTGACACCGCATGGCCGTGAGGCGAACTGCACCAGTAACCTGTTGCTCGCTCTCTCTTGCGAGCATCATCATCAGCCACGAAACACTGGATATTTACCAGCATGATGTTTACAGAGGAGGTAAGTGGTCATACACATGTGAAAGTCTGTGAAGGAGTCTGTGTGTCTGTATTCATTCTCCATCCTACAAACAACAGTCTCGGCTGAGAGTAGTGCTGGGCGATATGGCCTCAATTTGATATCACAATATTTTAAATATTTTTTTACAATGTCAATATTCGATATGTCTCAATATTTTTCATATTAAAGTTTATAAATGTAGCCTATAAAACTGAATCTCCAATGTATAAAAAAAAATATCACCCGACCATTGTAATCACTGGCCCAGGAACTTTACTTTTGATCGAAGAATAACAGTCACCAATTTACTCTTGAACCATTGTGATGCAAAAGTCAATTACGACTTTTATTTAATTAATTGAGCTCTAATTATAGAAAATAAAAATATTTTGTATTTTTCTAATATCTATGTACTCATGTTTATTCACCATGCTGGTAACTGTAAGAGTCTACTTAATCTGATATTAATATGAGACTGTGATAGAGCTGGAAGTCTTCTGATCACCTTTCTCTCCTTCTTTCTTCTCTGTGAGAAACTCTTCCTCCTTAGATCTTTACTTTCGGAGCTCTCTTAAGAGCTAAGATGCTTTGTGAATAACTTTTATCTTTACCAGGATCTAGTCTTTAACTTTAAGGGAAAATTTAGCTGCAGCGTGTTCCAGCTCCTCCAGCTGTCTGCCACTGTGGCTGAAACTTTTCTCCGTTCAGTTTTCGTCATGCCCTGCTGTCACTCAACTTTTCTGGTGATTTTTTTTCTTTGAATGCTGATTTTAGCTCGGCTTTTGTCGGGATATGATGATTTTAAAACCGTTTTACCAAACGTGTGTTTTAGTAGAGAAAACCTGCGCTAAAATCTGTGTGCGAGTGTACAATTTGAGTGTAGCTAGCGCGCTCTCGGAAGTGACAGCAGTGAAGCCGCCAGCTGAACGTGCAATCAGCTGGCCCAGACTCTGTCAATCATTCATCCGGGCCAGCGGGCCAGTTCTAATGTCGAGCCCTGCGTTATGTGCCCTTTTTTTGGAAGTAATTTGGCCTCGTTCGCATCTTTCTCTTTCTCCTCCGTGTTGGCCGCTTACAAGAGCTAGGCTACTCAGGGGAAGGAGTCTCCTCCGCCCTTTCGTCTCCGCGCAACAAGCGCTGCTGCAGAAATCTCGTGGAGCAACGAAATATCGCGAGAAAACTTTGAAGTAGTTTAAAAAATAAAATTGATGTTCCCTTTTCCATATCAAGCATTATTGAAATTAAATATCGATCGAATCGAGCTTCATGATATATCGCCCAGCACTAGCTGAGAGCAGGAGTGTGTGATGAGTTTGTACTGTTGATCTCTGTAAGCGGAGCAGAGTGAGGAGGACGTTGAGAACGTGCATAAAATGTCACTTCCTGGAGTTTTCGCGGAAAATACGACCCGGGGAAACTTTTTATGCAGACAACACAGATAGACAGTGAACATCTACTTTTTCACATCAGTTAACTTATTAATGGGCGATAAAAAACGATTTATACATGTAAAAAGTTACATATAGCCCTTTTAACTTCCACATGCCTGTGCTTTTTTACACTTTTGTCAAGATACGCCACTTTAACACAAGATAGCCTACATTTAACTTTTATTCAATTTTCAAAATACAGTCAAACCTCTCTGTGCTATGAGATGCCATTTGTCTACTATGCTGATTTACATCTAGGTAGTGGAGAATTAGTCTTTAACTGGAGCTCTAGCTCTCGTTGGTGGCAGGCAGCATTTCAGAAACAACATTGTTATGTGTGCATGTACAACAGTCACTGTACAGGACACACAACAATAAAATGAATTCCAGTAACATTTTGAATTGATTGATTATATTCTGAAACATGAAAAGTGTGTTAAAAATCTAACAAAGTATGAAGTCCAACAAAGCATGATGGGATATGTCAGCTGTACTACTAGGCTACTACCCACTACAGGAAGGATCACAGATGAGATGAGCAGAGCGGAGGAGTCGCGTGGTGATGGTAAGTTTGTACAAAACATTTCTGGTTAACGGAGTTAATACACACTTACTATGTCATTCCCTTGTTCAACATAATTCTTATATAACTGTACCCATTTGTTGCTCATGCTTATATAACAGACCTTTGTAAATACATTGAGGAGCTAATAATTAGCCAGCTATTGGCTGTGTACTGTCCCTCTGCTGCAGCTGAACGAATGGGAAGTTAAGGGGAATCACTGCTATATAACAGCTGCAGCTCAGGAGAAAGCAGAGTTGTGGTGGTTTGACACTAAAGTGTGTTGAATTATCTCGCATACTACGTTAGTCCGTTTATCTTAATGCAAGGCTACTCCCAATAAAGGGAGAGAAAAATCAGTAACTTGTGGGTACTTGACTGAACCCAGCGTCTTTTTCATAGTGTTTAGTGTTTATTCAGCAGCTCTGGGTTCTAACACAGACCAGCTCAGCAGCAGCCTGTGCAGTTCAGCAAGGTGTTGATATGAGCAGTCAATCATATTCTAGATTTTTCGGGATTTTTCCAGGTAACAAAGGAATGAGGCTTGTCAGCTGATGATTATAGAGAAAGGGAATTTGTAGACACAAATGGCCTGGATGTTGCAGCTGAGTGTTTGATAGTGGAAAAAAAAGATGAATTGCATTCAAATCAAAGACTGACTGACTTGATGTATATTATTTTTCTTAAATATTACTCATGATATTCTTATCTCTTTTCTATTGTATGATTCCACTGAAGTTGAACTTGTATAAGTAAAGAAAATTACAATAATTAATATCATAGAATCACAACATTTTGTTGTAATTCTCACATGTTTTTGTTTAAAGATATAAGATAGAATGTGGTTGCTAATGTTCACATTAAAATATGTATATGAATTAAATATTGACTAAACCCATGTTTTATATATTTTATTGTTGAGTAATTGCATTATGTCTAATATTTGCAACAGTTATCAAAGCCAGAGAAATACGTAATTTTATCGTTTTTTATGTTTTTATTTTTCAGATTACTGAGGGTGGAAGAAGTAAGGTGCAGGACTACTTCACAAAGGAAAGGAGCATGTTTTATTTGATACTTTCAACTTAAATTTGATATTTAGTTTTATATAGTTTCTTATTTTTATATTTTTTAACTTCCAAGTAAAGTGTAGTGTTTCAGTGCACTGTTGTTATTCTGGCCAATAAAGGCTTTTGTTCAACATAAAAAAATGATTGTCTTCATTATATATCTTTTCCAAAAGTGTTTGAAAGCTGTGTTTGAAGGATCCACGCAAAAAATGTGTGTATATCTATGTATCTTTAAAGATCAAAGATAGATTGGCCGATATATATCGGTATCAGATTTCTTTTCTCCCTTATATCGGTATTGGATCCAAAAATCCCATATCAGTCGGGCCCTAGATAGTACCTAAAAGTACCAAAAGCTTTAAATACCTACAGACCTTCATTCATATTTAATCCCAAAGTTGCAGTGAGCAAAATAGAAAAAGAGATCAGTGGTACATCGTTAAATCACAGGTCGGACATTTCTCCAGTCCTTTTGGCGTATCATAAAGCTACATAGAGTCATGTTTATGTCTCACAAACAGACACTATAAATAACACAAATACATTGGCAACATTTTCGATCCACAACATTTGACTGAAATTGTGGGCCTCAATTGAAAAATAAAAATATCCTGGATAAGACTTGGTCTGCTCATAATCCAAAAAAATACTTAAAATGTTAAAGATTTTAAATTGAAGACCAGAGGAACACCATATAGAATCTGTATCTTCACTCAAATAAAGAAAATAAAAATCCCAGTAGGAGGTTTTTAAATATTTTGCATAGTGGTATTCTGTACGGTTTGGTTTGATTGGCTGTTACCCTACCTGATAACAAAGAGTAGAGCACATACTAGCACCAGGAAGACGACAATGGTGGCGATGAAGACTGGCAAAATCACTGAAACATACAAAGGACAATATGGGATTATGGTTGAAGCTCTTATTCAGACGAGATTATTATTTTGGTAAATTCAGACATAATGTAATAATAATTCATTTTTCACATATTTAAGCTGTCCAGAGGACGTTTTCTTCATTACTTACCCATTTATAAAGTTTTATTGGCAATACTTAGTAATTATGAGAACAAATTGTGAAATGTGCCGCTTACCAATAAAAGTTATACTCAGCTCAGAGACAAACCTTGACTTTCTGCAGATGTTGGAAGGCTGTAGAAAAGAAATCGCTGAGCAACAGATCCCAGAGAGTTTGAGCTGCGACAAAGCACAATGAAGTGATCCTTCCATTGGGCTTGACTCATGGTGATGAAGCTCACGCCTGTACCATTTCGATGCTCATAACTGACTGCAAACTCTTCTGAGTGATTGACAGCTAACCCATCCAAACTCCATTGTAAAGTGGGAGGAGGATTTCCCGTAGACTCACAGGAACAGTTGACCTGGTTAGCAGTTTTGGTGCAATCAGATGAGGACATGATCTGTGGAGCATCTGTAATGGATGTAGGGAAGAGAGACAAGTAGAGAGTCAAGTAAAGCCATGCTGTATCAAATTTGCAAAAGTAAAAGAGAAGGCTTATGGCTATAAAAATAAAAAAATAAAAGTTGACCAGCTGTGCGTGTGAATGAAGTGAATGAGGCAAAGAAAAATTCTAGTTCCTCCATGTCAATTGGTTTTCATTCTGGGCCTGTGTCCACAGAGGGCGCTTTTAACGCTGGCAGCGCCTATTTTCAATACAAAACCAATGTAGTTCAGTGTTTTCAGCACTCAGCGTCATACGTTTCTTGAGGCCGCATTCACTCAGCTCTCAGTTGAAAACAATTCCACTTATGGAACAGCACTACGCTCTTCTATGTCACATCTCCATCACCAACCTATGGCGTTTCATCCCAGCCAATAAAACCACACGCATATTATTTTTGCAAGCGTTTGCACAGCATTCTCACGCAGAATTTATCTGCTCGATCGAGCAATATTGTATCCTGCAAGGAGAAAACCATGCTTTGAGCACGAGCAAAATCTCACCCTGAGCGTGTAACTACAGTGCTCTCTCCTGCTCGCTCGCAAGGGGATTTTTCTTTTTGCGCTCAAAGCATGGTTTTGTCCTCTCAGGATACAATATTGCTCACGCACGCAATTTCATTTCAGTAATTGTAATTTTACTTGATATAAACATTCTTACTAAGCAGACCTTTTTGGGGGTAAAGTTAACATTTGCTCGTCTCTAATTTAATTATAGAACCTCATACATAACACAGTGTTTCCCCTACCATTCAGGTCGTTCAGGGTGGATTACCCAAAGTGATCTCCCACCACCCTAAAAGAAAGGCACTAAATACTTTATCTATGTAAATTATCCATCCATCCATTATCTATAACTCTTTTCTCCCTTTATTTAGAACAAAGTTAATCCTCTACAAAAGAAAGATTTTATGGATTTGAAGTTTCCAATCAAAGGAAATTAAAGTTAAACAAAGAGATTTTCATAAATTTTTTAAAATGTAACTGATGAATGACACCTACAATGTACATCTATTTGTCTTGTGTTTGATTGAAAACTTCCCAGTTCATTTTCAGCCTTGCAGAAAAACGAGCCTCTCTTTCGAGAAGCTTTGATGTTTAAAACACTTGCACTGGACCAGAGGGACTGACTGACACTGTGGTCCTTTTGGGTGAATCTGAAAAATTATTACAGGGATTAAAGTTCTCCGTCGCTACAACGTATTTCCGTCAATTTCACTATTGTAATAATTTTAGTCGGTGTCAATCAGACAAATAAAAGTCGAGCAAAATGGGTTAATGACATAGCCCTACCCTTGTGTGCAAACTGCGGTTTTTAATGTCAGGCATTTATCTGAATCCTGTAACACAATTGTAGTTTTGTGTTTGTGTGGCATTTTGAATATAAAGTCAAAACTTTGGTCTGCATTTACAAACTGTTTGTCATTTGTGAACCTCACTGCATTCTTAATTTGTTTTTTAAATTGGATATTAAAGTCCAGTGTTACATTCATTTATAATCAGATACAACTGTGACCTTTAACCCTGTGATGAAAACACTGAGTGTGAAATGATCTGTTGACCTCTTTGTGAAAAACATGCAGATTGTTTTCTTTATGTTTAAGTATTGACAGGAGTTATTAAACCACTGTGTGACATTAGTCATCACTGCTGTTAGCTTACGTGCAGCTTGCTGGTTTGTTGTTGCATGTTCAAAAATGATAGTATCATCAGCGTACATTAGGATGTCTGACCTAATAGCATTCATTTATTAGATCATTTATGTAGAGGCTAAACAACAAACCCTGTTCATACAATGAATACATCTACAATCAAACATCTGAGTGGAGAGAAAAAAAGGTAATCACACATGGCAGTATGCACACCCCAGGTGACGGCCATGCTCGTAACTGTTTGCTAAATGATTACAAAACAACAAACAAATTAGAAGAAGCATGTATTTTATGTAATCAATTTAATCACAAGACAAACATACTCACATGTAATGTCAGCTGTTAAACTGGTGTTCACAGATGACTCAGTGCTGCCATCTTGTTTTCTGTAGACAGCAGTACAGGAGATTTCCTGTCCGTGATGGAGGTGTGATGCGTTGAAGTTCAGCACAGAGATCTTGACTTTAGTTTTGTCCTGATTCTCCTGCAGGGTCTCCTGACCTTCACCCAGGCTGGGGCTCCATGTCAGATTTGGAGGAAGAGACAGACAGGGAGCTGGAGCAGAGCAGCTCAAACTCACTGAGGTTCCCTCTTTCACCTTCAGTGTGGGCGGAGTCAGAGTCGGTCTGGGTGGATCATCTGTTCAGAAGATACATAAACATGTATAAGCAGTCATTTCTCTCTACTATCAAAGGTTTGATTTATCTTTATTTTAAAGTAATCAATGATAAGGTCAGAGAACTACTACATGACTGAACTGTAAATGAGTTTAATTTGAAACCTACCTTCGACTGAAATTTTCACACCATTAAAATTGTATTTCACACCTGAACAATCTAATCTAAACCAATACTCTTTGTTGTTTTGAGGTTGCATGTCATTCAGGGTTGTGGTGCAGTCTTTTTTTGTTAGGTCACCGATCAATTGTCCTTTCTGTTGTGGATTACTGCTATCAAACACAACAGGGCCAGTGTTCCTTTTTCCTTTTCTCCATAATGCTTTACATGTGTTATCTAAGTTTACATTATATTGATCCTCTACATCAAAGGAGCAGGGGATTGTCACACAGGATCCCTTCAGAACCTCTATAGTCTTTGGTATAATGATCTCAAACTGTCCACACAGGTCACCTGAAACACAAGAAAGAAATCCTTATTACAATTATACATTAACAATACAATCCTTATTCATATTGAGTTTATAATGTCTATATTACTAAAATCATTGACAGGGATAGAGGTTTCAAATGAGCCGTGCTAGAATGTGCATGTTATCTACTTGTATTTAATGAAGCAATGTTCATTGCACGTGTCTCTGTTAAATAAACAAACAAATAAATAAATAAAGTCATGATACATTTTATTGATGGGTCTGTTTCTAAAAAAATTATCAGTATGCTTTCAAAGATAAAATAGTCTTCACATAAAACTCAGGATTCATCATTTTCACACAGTTTTTTTTACATTAAAGTTGTAAATTTAACACCAAATCTCTACATTATGATTTCTTTAAAAGAAAGCAGAACACATTAGTCGCTAATTTCTTTGACAAATATAAGTGAGCATCTCACCTTGCAGCAGACAGCCAATGAGGAGGAGAGTCAGAGCTGCAGCCATCTTTGTGTTTCAGAAGAGGCAGAAAGTCTGGAGAGAATACATGTAGATTTACAGTTTAGTGTATTTCGCTCCAAGTAAACTTAGATTTCATTTTGAGGCTGTTGTTGAATGTGATCTTTGCAGAAGTTGCAGATGGAGAAATATGTTGCAATATTTTAATCTTCATCAATGTGGAAAAGGTTGGATCCAGAGTTTAGTTAACTAAATTGATCCCAACAAAACTAAAAGACTTCAAGGTGTGCAGCTTCTCATTTTAAGGTTTAAATTTAAATCTTTCTGCATTTCAATCAATTCAAGTAAAGATGCTCATTATTAAAACATAGATGAAATTATTATAAAATAAAAAAAACAGGAAGTTTGACTGCCTGCCTCAAAGAAAAGAGACAAGTGTTTTATGTTTTTCTTTGAGTTCAGTTTGTTTACAACCTCTTTAAGGAAACTATTCAATAATTAATAATCAGTAATAATGCCCAAAGAAAAACTGCATGAGAGCTTTAAAATGTTCAAAACTTGATCAGAGTGAATGTTTTTTTTCTTTCCCCTGTAACAAAGTTTGTTTGATCAACCTGCAAGTGCAAAAAAGATGCACTTGTTAAAAAGTAGCTTTATGACATCAAATATGTTGATTTGTTTTATTTCCCGAAAAAGGATAAAGTTATTTAAAAGCTACTTAAAAGTTATATAAAAGTTTTTTAAACTTACGGTCTTTTTTGAGCAGAGAGGGAAGGATGTTTAGAGAAGTGAAGTTCCTCATCATTTGGCCACCTTTCCAAACAGCATGCAATAATTGACTTAAAAATGAGGAAGTAAAAAAAACAGCAACATTCATGTTAGCACAGAATGTTCTGTACTTTTATGAGTTATTTTCAATGCAATAACATCTTGATGTAATTTAATATTTACAACCATCAGTTTGACTAGAAAGTTACTATTTGAGATCCACATACAGGAGGTGACAACTCAAACTTTTCTGTCAAAGCGTCCTGCCTAATCATGAAGCATGAAATAAGCAGGCGACTCTATAAATTACATTTTTAATCATAACACAATTGTGAAAAAAGCACTTTAATTCTTACTCAAAGTCAGCAATTGTATTTTTTTTCAAGTGAAACTGAAGGACAGTAAATATAAAATTATTTAAAGGTGTTTTCACATTAGGTACAATTGTTTTCTTACAGTGTACAAATGTATTATAAGGGACATATTCAAATTTGTGGTGTTTATAGGATCAGCATCTTTTAGCCTTTAGTTGTAGTCAGCAACATTAGGAATATTATTTGCAAGAATAAACAAACAACAATGGCAACTGTGTTCCACATAAACCATGGCAGTAAATACTGCAAGGTTGCCAAGCCAATCCCCATCTTCTTTTGCTTAAGGTTTCAGAGTCAAGTGCTCT